GGGCGGGCGCCGGGGGGCGGCGGCTTCCTGTGGGAGGGGCCTGGCGCGCGGTTCCGGCCTCCAAGGAGGGGTGTCCCGGCTGGTACCCGAACGGGTGGGCAATGGGTTCCCGGCCGCCTGCGCCTTCGGAAGGCGCTCCGCGCCCGTGCCGCGGGTTGGGATGTGGAGGGGCGGCGGTGTAGACGCGGCCCGGACCCCAGCGAGGGCTACTTGGAAGCTCCCTGGAAGGGGCAGCCTGGGAACGGGCGTGGAGGGAGAGGGAGCACAGCTTGGGAGGTGCGGGCTAGACCCCCTTCTGGAATTCCCTTCCTTCCCTGCCCTTTGTAGGTGATGGGTGCTTGAGACTTTGGTTTCGGTCGCCTTGAGTTTGTAAACTTCAGGAGGGATCACAGTCGTGATCATCTGACGTTCGTCACACCCACTTTGCCCTGTTTGGGTAGGGTTTCCACTTCTGGGGAACTTAGCCCTGCGGATTTCTTTCTGTGAGATTCTCCCTGATGCTTTTTTGCTGTAGTCACGACATGACTTTTAACCTACACTGTTATCAGTGACCTGGGCCAGCGTGACCTTAGCCAAACAGTGACTGGAAGCCTTGGACTGATGAATACTTAAGACCTTTCCTCTTTCTTAGGCTTAAATATCGAAGCGTCCTGTATCATGTGACTACTTATCTTGATGAACTGTAACTGGGTAGGTAACTGAGAAGCCTGTGTTGTGTTCCTCGAAACGGTGACCTGGATCATATTTTTGAGGTTAAATATCTGTGTTAAAATTTTTACTTTTCTAGGGTGAGGTATGACGATCTCTTCAAGTTTCACACCAGCTTGGGCTTCATAGTAAATTCCAAGCTAACCTGGGGTAGATTGCAATACCTAAAAATGAAATAGAATAAAAAGGTCATCCTCCTTTCTCTTTATGGAGACAAGGTCTCCCTGTGGCCCCAGCTGACCTTGGAACTCACTGTGTAGACCAGGCTGGCCTCATCTCACAGAGACCTGGCTGCCTCTGCATCCCTTGTGCTGGGATTAAAGGCGAGCACCACCATGCCCCACTTCTCTACATTTTCTAAGCTTTACAGAAGTGAAATGAATTTCTTGAATGCAGTGTAACTGAATGGAGGTTCAAATTGGACATTGACAGGAACCAGAATCTTGTGTCACTAGGAAAAACAAGGACCTTGCTAACACTTTAGTTGAAGGCTTTGGAATTCTTGACAAGCATTCAAAAATTAAGTTTCGTCCCAGTCTTGGGAAGTTATTCCCACTATACAAGGAACAAATAGAACAAAGAGTTCCATTGACTTTGTTTTTTAAAGATTTGTTATTTTTATGTGTGTGTGAGTACATGCTCCAGTGCAGAGAGGCCAGAAGAGGGCATTGGATCCCCTGGAGCTGGAGTTATATTATAGGCAGTTGTGAGCTTCCCCACATGGGTGCTGGGAATCAACTCAGGTTCTCTGGAAGAGCAGCCAGTGCCCAACCTTTGAATCATTTCTCCAGCCCGCATCTGACTTTTAACAGTTTGTTGCTTTTTCTTGTTCACTGGTCTCCTTCCTGGTTGACCTCAGATTCTTCCAGGACAGGGAGGGATCCTATTTATTTGACTTTCTTGGCTACTAGACTCAAGCCTGGTATGTTTTGGGGCCTTGCTCAGTGTTTGACAAATAAATGAATTTTATTTTTATTTATTTTTGGTTTTTTTGGGACGGGGGTCTCCCTGTATCCCTGGGTGATCTGGAACTTGCTATGTAGACCAGGCTGTCCTTAATCTTACAGAGAGATCTGCTTGCATTTGTTTCCCCAGGAGCTGTGATTTAAAAGTGTGTGCCACTTCTCCCAGCATTAATAAATACTTTTTTTTTTTTTTTTTTTTTTTTTTTTTGAGACAGGGTCTCCCTGTAGCCCCAGCTGTCCTGGAACTCACTATGTAGACCAGACTGGCCTTGAACTCACAGGGATCTGCCTGCCTCTGCCTCCCGAGTGCTGGGACTAAAGGTGTACACCACCATGCCCAGCTTAAAGATCCATTTTTGAAGGTCACACAGCTGTCAGTGGTGAACAAGGTATTGGAAATCAAGCTTTCTGCCTTTCTCTGGTGTGTGATGCTAGCCACTTTCTGTTATTGGTTTATAGGAAAATGATGGATGTGTGAAAAAGGCTTGGATTAGCTTGTCACTCTCACTTTGGTGGTTGTCAGTGCTGGGGATTGAACCCACCGCTTTGCACATTCTAAGCTAGCACCCTACCACTGAGCTAGAATCACACACCTTCTTTTAGCATTTTTGTTTTGAGTCAGGATCTCACTAAGTTGTCCAGGGTATCCTCAGACTCCTGCTGTAGCCCAGGTGGGCCTTGAATGTGTGTGCCTTGCCCCCTGCTGTACTCTACTGTGTAGCTGGAATTACAGGCCTGCGCTCCCGGCCCATCTTGGTCTCTTTCACTTAATGACCACTTTCTGATTTGCAAGGAGCTTATACAAATATCTCATTTTGTTTTGTTTTGTTTTTTTAATTTAGAAAATTATTTTTATTTCATGTGTATGAGTGTTTGCCTGCATGTATGTAAGTGTACCCGTGTCATGCAATGCTGGTAGAGGCCAGAAGAGGGTGTCAGATCCCCTGGAACTGGAGTTATGAACAGTTGTTAGCTGTCCTGTGGGTGTTGGGAACCAAACCTGGGTCCTCTGCAAAAGCAGCCAGTGCTCTTAACTGCTGAGCCATCTCTCCAGCCCCTAAATTTTTTTTTTTTGAGGTAGAGTCTCACTTTGTAGCCCTGGCTAGCCTGGAGTTCATTTTGTAGTCCTGGCTCCCCTCAAACTCCATGTGTTGCTGAGAAGCTCTTAATTCTACTGTCTCTGTTTCCCAGGTTCTGGAATTATCCTTTTGCTTGGCCAAGTATTTCATTTAATCCCTGTGATCTGTGAAAGTTAACATTGCTGTTATTCTGCAGATAAAGAAACTGAGGCTTATTGAAGACCTTACTCTCCATTTCAGAACTAGTAAATAAATGACTGAGTAGGGTCTCAGTCTGTTAAACAGTTTTTTTTTTTCACATATTTGTTTTGGGGGAGGGGGTTGAGGGAGGGGCTAGTGTGCCCCCATGGGCGTCATGGTACACGTGTGGGCCTTAGATGACAACCTGAAGGAGTTGGTTCTCTCCTTCTACCATGTGTGTCCTGGGAATGGAACTTAGGTCCTCAGGCTGGGCAGCAAGCACCTCTAACCTCTGAGCCATCTCAGCCCCAGCCTAGGCTTTATAGTCATAGAGGTAGTCTTTTTGATTTCTAGAAGCAATAGAAAGATTTATTTTAAAAATAGTTTCCAAGTATAAAAATACGATATTAGGCTGAGTATAAGTGGCATATACCCATCATCCCAGCACTTGGGGCGCAGAGGCAGATGGATCTCTGTGAGATCAAGGCCAGCCTGGTCTACATAAAATTCTTTTTAAAAAAATACTTTATCGCAGGGCGTGGCAGCGCACACCTTTAATCCCAGCACTCGGGAGGCAGAGGCAGGCGGATCTCTGTGAGTTTGAGGCCAGCCTGGTCTCCATAGTCAATCCAGGACAGCTAGGGCTACAGGGAGCCCCTGTCTCAAAAAAACCAAAAAAAAAAAAAAAAAAAAAAAAAAAAAAAAAAAAAAAAAAAAAAAAAAAAAAAAAAAAAAATACACAAGGATATAAAAAAAAAA